GGACTCGGACGGGTGGGTTCCGGGGAGAGGGATACAGTGGGTGTTGATAGGGGACAGAGGGGCAAAGAAGCACTTGTACGCCGAGAGGCTCTCGAAGCTTCTGGAAGTTCCGCACATTTCTATGGGCACCCTCGTCCGCCAGGAGCTCAACCCTCGCTCTTCTCTCTACAAGAAGGTCCCGTTTTTCTTTTCTTGTTCTTCTTGTTTTTACCACTTTCTTTTAATTGTGTTTTGTTTTTACTCTTATTTTTCTTTCTTGCTAAACCCTTCATTGATTGTTATTACTATTATGAATTATTGCCTTCTGATATAAACCAAATTAAACCACTTCTGATGGCGTTTATGTTTTTTTTCTTCTTTTTGTTTGTGGTAATTTAGATTGCCAATGCGGTGAATGAAGGAAAGCTTGTTCCGGACGAAGTGATTTTTGCATTGTTGTCAAAGAGGTTGGAAGAAGGATACTACAGAGGTGAAAGCGGATTCATTCTTGATGGAATTCCTCGAACAAGAATGCAAGCTGTAAGTTTTAAGTTGTAAGAAAATCTGAGTTACGTTCATGGTTTGTGATTGTAATTTCTGTGGGAAGTTTAAAACGTTGCAATTTTTGTGAATTTTGGATACTAAATGTGGTTTGTGTTCTCTGAATGCCTTGATTTGTTTCTCTTGGTACAGGAGATTGTTGACCAAATTGTGGATATTGATTTGGTAGTGAATTTCAAATGCACGAATGAGAACTTGGTGAAGCAGAATCTAGGAACTGGAAGCTCCTCTGCTTGTCAGGAATATCTTAGCTTGAGCAACTCCATCCCCATGCGTAATCTAAATCTGCAGTTGCCGGACGAACGACTAAAATCCTCCACTGCTGATGCAGAGCAGGTATCACTATTGTGCTCTTTTTTGGGGCTTAAGATAGTTGTTTTATGATTTCCACTTTGTTCTGTTTTATATGTTAGTTTATGACTGTTGAAAAATGGAAATGTGAATTGTTGCTAATTGGGGGGTTATCCATTCCTCTCTTATCTCAGAGCAAGTCGTTGGAAGATTACTACAGAAAACAGAACAAACTCATCGATTTTCAAGTCAAAGCTGCGCCCGGAGAAACCTGGAAGGGGCTGTTGGCTGCTTTACATCTCCAGCATATAAATGCTGTCAGTTCTTCCCAGAAGCTAACTGCATGAATTAGGCTTCTTCTGGGTCTTTTTCGGCTTCCTTTTTCTTGTGCATTCCGGCAGAGTGTAGTAAATATATAAGATGTGAGAATTACAGAGTTGGTTGAATATTCAACTTGGTTTTGAAAGAAATTTTGGTCTTGTAAGTGTTATTTTTATCGTGTGGCTTGCAACATTAGGATGCAAGTTTGTAATGTAGTGAGTGAGAGATGAAAACTGAGAAGCAGAGAAGACGTTTGATGAATAAAAGTAAGCA